CACCTCTCTTTCTCTTTTTCCTCCCCTCACTCTCTCTTACTTTCTCTCTATCTCTTTCTCCTCCCCCCTCTCTCTCAGCATATATATTTTTTTTTTTATCTCCGTCCTACCACCCAATAATCCAGTAACTGTCTCCATATTCATTCACAAAAAACTGATTTATCGTAACAGACATACTCCTCAAATCTGGTTGCTAACCCACTGCGTTTACGTGGCGCGGAATCTCCCAAAACAGCTGAGATGGGCGTTGAGGGCGTCGAACAACCCCTCACGTGTCTGGTATTTTTATTGGGTGGTCGTGAAGGGGCCCCACTTTCAGGGAATTTCGCACAATATGTCGAACGAATGTGGAATGGAAGATTGCATTCTCTTTGTTGTGAGATTTTGTGTAATATTTTCTAAAGATTCTTGTTTGTTTACGTAAAGAATAGTGTTAGAATGTAAGACGAAAAAGGCTATGTATTTCGGTTCCCTCGCTGTTTTTTTTGGGGGGGTTACTCTATTGATAGGAAATTGTGTCAAGAGATTCCAATTATCTTTTGTTTCTTCTCGGACAAGGGAGCTTAGTCACCGACATTGCAAGGCGAGAGTCGCGTACGTTAAAAAGGCTTCTTCCACTAACAATGGGGAGCTCCACCTCGCCCCCTTTGCGGCCAGCCAACTGTGGTCGGCGGCCCGAGACGCTACGGCGCTTTTTATTCGGTGCAGCTGAAACGAGCCCTGCGTTGCCCTGATGGTGGGACCTGCACGGAAAGAGCCCTTTTTCGCAACGGCAGATTCACTAAACGAGCCAATAACCGTTCTTTCTGCGAACACTTTCCGGTTTTACAAGGTAGTTATGGAGGCTGAGAATCCCGGCGAAATTGTTCGTAGGTAAACAGTGCCCATATTTTTCTTCAGTAAATCTCCTCAATATTAGCATTACAGGAACAGTATCATCGATGGTTATCCAGGATTCCATGAAATCTAATAGAATTTTATCATGTCAGCGTTCCAATGTATCAGCTGTTGTTTTTGTGAAAAATTCCGAGTCATCCTGTGTCTGAGACAGCCTTGCCCCGGGCTACGGCATCGTTATTCTGTCTGCGCATCATCATTTCAGTCCACAGCGCAGGGGGGAAGAGTGAACAGGTGATGCACACATTCCCAAACCCCGCGCACTTTTCTCCTTTATGCAAATGGACTGCCATTCAGACCCTTGCCCTATGGGGAAGGGATCATTGTCAAGAATTTACTATTTACTTTTCTTAGAATCTCTTACGTCTGTGCGAAGGGCGGGGTTCCAGACATACCCGCCGAAAAATGTCATCTTCGCATACCAGTTTTTTTCTCCTTGTTGGTAAGTAGTATTAAGCCTAAGAAGAAAACCGCACATTCGGAGAACTCCTTCACCCTAATCGATAACACTTGTTCTTTACCTTAAAAGACACAGCCTAAACTTACCCATACTCTCTTTCCATATGTCCTCCATGATTTTCCACTTATTCCAAGCTCCCAAAATTCATTAACGCTTCTCCTCCACTACTGTCACCGTAACTCGAGCATCGGAGGACATGACAAACATTTGGTATTCTCCCAGAGTGGCATGTTTACCAAACCTTTTTTTTGTTTTGTTTTTTGTTGTCCGAATTCAGTGTCTACCGAAATGTCCCTGTCCCATCAAGAGGAAATAAAGGGAAATATATTTGTTTGGGGACTAAATGGAAAGGCTAAAGTGATTTTTTTACGGATCGTGAGTTTGGGGGTTTGTGTTTTTGTGTCTTGTTTCACGGGAAAATTCGATCGCGTAGCCGACTCTTTTGTATACTGTATCTATTTGTCGCTACAAACCTGATTTATTCACAAGCCGGAAAGCACAACACGACACCCGAAAGAGTTGGGTTTAGACTATAAACCCTGGGAAAACATTTCCGGGGAAATATACGACATTCCCTTCGACTGTACGTCTCTATGAGGGTCGATTTTACGACAGGTTCCACGAATGACAAAAGAAAAAAACGTGAGCATGTATGGTATTCTTCAGGTTTTTCCTTCCCTGTAAAATGAAAATTCATCTCATTAACCTATAAAATATATCTGATCTGAAAATAATAATGTTTATCTCACTGAAGCCTGAAATGCCTCCTAAATTATGTTTCTGATTACTAAACGTACAATAAATTTGAAAATAGTAGAAAGGAGAAAGAAAAATTGCATAATTCACTACCAAGCATAACTGTCAGTATCTCAATTCCTGGCGTTATTATCGCATCAGTCACCGTGCCTTTCAAGTAATCTGACTATCAAAGCCGCGGGCACACTGATATCCGCAGTTACACACACCTCCTTTGTTTTCTCAATGCCTGGGCGATTTTCTTTATTTTCCTCTCCTCTGCTTCTTCTTTCTTCCCGCCAGCTTAGCCCAGCCTCCTGCCAACCGTGCCAACATTCCTAAGGTTTTTCCCCATTGATGGTATCGTTGTAATGCCTCGGCCATTGTCCCCTCCGATCTGCTAAGCTGCTCCCTCTTCGTTAGAATTAATCACGCTAAATCACTGTCAGCGCCGGAGGGGAACAGTCACGCTTCCCGTAGAGTCTGCGAGGCTAACGTTACCAGAGGACGCTGATGAACAGGTCCGCATAAGGTGATCAGTGTGAGGGATCTCGACCTTCTTTCCCTCACGCTCTATCACGCTGGTCTAATATTAAGACTGTAGCGTACAGCCCGTTGGCGAAGGGCGATTAGCAGAAGTTAATGACTGTTAAGGAACAGAGAGGAACCTGCTTCTCCTCATGCTGTCTTACGTCCACTCTCTGCGCATTCAGCCCCACATATGCAGTGACTTATGCGATCTAACCACGGTCATACTGGAGATGATGTCACCTTCAGTATCAGCTTCATATTACGTTGTGGTGGAGCGCCAGTCATCACCGATCACTAACTCTTCTGTGGAAAGAGGGCGACTTCACAACAACCCCCACTCCACGACCTCCTCCTTCTCCTCGACTCTTTTCTTTTCTTCACCTCCTCTCTCTCCTCCTTCGAACTACGCCCCTTCTTTTTCTTGAACCTCTCCTTCCCCCTCTTCGTCTTCGTCGCCGTCGTCCTCGGTCGTCGTCCTCCACGTCCTCGTCGTCCAACTCTTCCTCGTCATCCTACTCCTCCTCCACCTCCACCTCCTTCTCCTCGTCCTGGTCCTCCTCCTCCTCCTCCTCTCCTACCCTACTTTCCTGACTAGGATGGATACAAACGCTCCATCACGACTTCTGTATTTGGGCGGCGGATTCATAACGATCACGGGAGGCGAGATGTGAGAAGGGGTGACGACATTCAGAAGGCGGTTCAGAGGCACGATAGATGTTACTCTTCCACAAACTGGGGATCTTAAGCTTGTATTGTAACACAGAAAGAAAGAAAAAGGAAGAAGGGAGAAGCACACTGTACGTACATATTTTCTTTCGTTTAATTGGTCTGAGTGATCTATAAATATCTTGATGAGCGGTTAATTGGATCACGGAGAAGCAGAAGTGTTGTAACACCCTAATTCACTTTGATTCGAGCTTCTGCCAAATCAAAGATTCATTCATGAATACTAACTTTGGTGTATATGTATCTTATACATTTGTAAGTACTCCATGCATGTATATGGAGGCGAGTGTGTCTGCTAAGAGACATTTTGGGATAAATATGAATCGAGATGAGTAAAGGCGGGGCATACCTGCAAAGAGATAACATTAAACAAGGTTGGAAAGTAGAGTCACGCATCACCACCTTCAACTCAAACACTTGTGCTTATATTTTACGGGCGTTATATACACGAACTACAAAATATCATCATGTACAAAACTTTACATGAAATTTTGTCACCACAAATCCCCCTAAATACCACTGACGCTTCGATAAGCTCCGCCCTTCCATCATGTGTACAGAAATACGCTAACCACTACTCCTGTCACCTTTACCAGACGCCCTACTATGTCCATCATAAGCACATATATAGCACCGCTATGTGTCAGTTCAAGTACACAGACCCCACAAGGCAGTCGCTATCGACTCCATTCATTCAGTCTCAACACAAGCCACTTAGGGCTTTGTCTTAGCCTGTGTATACATACTGCGCATCCTGCAGATATAATCACTTCATATTAATTCCCGAAATGAACGTGTTTATATGAAACGTTCGCTGCATGACATGAATGTAAGTCGGAATTAAATCTAGAACTCCATAAGAAATGATAACACGAGGCAAGACCGTGCTGGACGAGCTTCTCACCTGGGCGTCATGTTGGGAAAGGGCTTCGCTTCCTCTCTGATTATTTCACGCATTTATTCATGAGCCAGAGAAGAATAAACAGACATCCTCCCTTTACGCGAAGGACTGCTTATATTAACACGAAGGTCGAATGATAATCAATTGGGAGCTGATAAGAAATTTAAATGCGATGTAGTCTCGATCCCGAACCATTTCGTGTTTGGAAAAATCCCAGTCATCGCGGTCTTTTGGCCAGTTTTAGTTCATCTACGCTGTGATTGTTATATTAAAACCCACACACATGTAAACTCGCATGATGAAATGAGACAGGTATTTGCTGAAACTGACTGCAAGAAGGTTAAGGCTGTCTTGCTGGTTTGGTATGGTATAATTTTCGCATTGACGACTTTCCTGCCATCGACTGCACTTTCTTACCAGGAATATTATTTGGTTAATTGCCCATTGGCCGCACAGCTGAGGTCCTCCTGCTATGACTAGTGACACCGCAGAGCATTCCACCCCGCCCACATGCAGGGACGGGCAGCCAGGTGGACGGCTGGAGGAGGGTGTGAATGTAAGCCTCCCTGTTGTGCGTTAAGTGCGTACAATCACTGATACATTCACTCCATTCGCTAATTCATGGCAGAGTGAATGAGTGGGAGGGCACGAGTGTCGGTATGCGTGTGCGTGCGTGCGTCCGTGTGTTGGTCTCACCTGGTCTCCCGCTACCTTGACCCCCCCTTCCCTCCCCCACGAGGACCGCGAGCCCGGGCACGGCGCAGTGAAAGTGGTAGTGTCGGCGGGCACACACGGCGCTTTCGTGCTGCCTCGTGATCTGTCATAATCGACTGACTATATACATGAAAATCTGTGATTGCACGAGGATCGCTTCCTATACGCCAAAGGTAAGTGTTGCTTGAGAAGTGACGTGCTCTAGCCCACCCCGTGCCGCTGAAGTGCCATTTTAACGTGCAGGTGTGCCGTGCTCCGCTTCCTCGCCCAGCCTCCTCGTTGAGAAGCTTCAATATCATGGCATTGACACACTGCCACTTCCCTCCCCCTCTCCCCCCTTAATGCCTCGCCCATCAAGAGCAAATGACACACGAGTGAAAAGTTATTCCACTAACCCCAGAACAGAACGAGATGCTTCTAGGTGTGATCTCCCCATGTATCTTGCCTTCGTCTGTGTGCCATCGCCTCGCCGTGCATACCTGATACACCTGCCTTTAATTCATCTGCCGTCTTTATGAGAGACTAGAATGATAATGATGTATAGCTAAAGACGAAGTTGGTTTCGTTTTCAGTGTCTTCTAAAAACGGATCCTTTCGCGATGTGACTTGTTCTCGTCGAGGTGCCTTTAGTGTGTGATATATTCACCAATGGGGATGTACTATGTGTATTTAGCATAAAACTCCCGGGATTCTGGTGTTTATTTCTTATAATGATTGTGTATTCGTGACCTTCCATGGCCTGTAGCAGCTACACAAAAATTGTGCATTTCATATTTTCCAATAGAAGCGCGAGAAACAATTTTGTGTGTTGTTTGCAGTTCAAGTTCCAGAGTGCAACAAACAGCAAACTCCGTAAAGCTTAGGAAATGTAGTTATACACATTTAAATGTAGTTATAAACATTTCCCCAACTTCCCTCCTCGATGAACGTTCGGGAGGGGCTGAGGAAGGGAGGGAGGGGGCTGCGGCGGCCGAGATTAGGTAGCCAATACCATATAAAGTGAAGCTCACTTGGGGCTGCTTCCCATCGCATGCTGCGGTGATGTGTCGCGGGCAAGAGGGACTTCTCTGCGAGGCTGATAGTCATGCCTTTCTCATAAGGTCTAGGCATTGGTTTGAATCAGTTTTAAAAAAGGAATACATCACCGTGTAACTCCGTTATCCTACTTGCAAATATTTTTTCAGTGAAAATGGATGCGTAACAATGCATCATTTCAGTTTTGATGAATGATGTTTCTCTGTGCAACAGGAAGTACAAACGTTGCATTCGTATATACCACATACTTGGCCTTAACACAAATGACATCCGCGAGATTTTCTCCGCTCAGTGAAATTCAATTACATGACAACTCAAAGTATTGAGGAAGTGCATGACATGACAAGATCACTGGATTTCCGGAGCATGAGGTTCATGCACGAGCAGCGGGGTAAGGTCAGCCACACGACCTCCTCGAAAATCGGAGCATGAGGAACCAGTGATTCTCCCTGACCGGAAGACACTTCAGGCGAGGACGAATACTCGGCCATGCGTGACGACTAGTCGGGGGGGGGGGGGGGGTTTGCAGGCGCCCAGCAGCGTGGGTGACCCTGGACGACCTTCATCATAGTTACGCCCGTGGCCTGCAAGTCATTCCAGTCATCTGTGCGACAAAAAGCATAAACTCGAAGTTTCAATGATTGCTGAAAAACGCCTGGCTTTGGTCGTAATGCGAGAAAGAAACATCTGGCCCGCATGCTACCTAAGCCGGGCATGTGGGAGGTCAGTGGGTGTGATGAAGAGCCCTCGTATCGCGGTGCAGGAGTGGAGGAGCCGCCGCGACGTGGGGCTCTGACAATGGGGCGAGTAGGCAGAGGTCCTTGCATGTGGGCGTAGATTGATACAAGTTTAGGTCGCAGGTTCTGTGTGGGCGCTGCGTGTGGGTATGGAGTAGTTGTAGTGTGAACCCTCGTGGCATTTCTCGTTGAAACCAGCGACTCTCGCGGGAGGCAAGGAGCATTTTGCACCAACGGCGTAATGCACCTACAACGACCCCCTCGTAACGGTCATTCATGCTACTTGTTCACGTCGTTCTCGCGATGATGACTCGAGACATCTGTATATTACTCGTGATTCGCGCCCACGCTGCTTATATTTTTTGTCTCCTGTGGGATGTCAGATGTCAGTCGAGGTTGTTTGGAGAGACAGGCTGGCACAAATCACATTCAGGTCAGTATTTGTTGTAATAATACATCTATGTCCACGCGTCTGTGCGTAGGCTTTTGATGGATGGGTGCGTGGGCGCGGTGTGGGCGCGTAGGTGTATGGCGAAGGCGTGCGGTTTGTGCAGATAACTTAACTCTGCACCTGGCTTATAGATTGATCCGTTGCGCAATAAAGGGCGAAAGACTTGGTGACGAGGGTGCGGTTTGGGCGTGTAGGCGTGTTTAATTGTGGGGGCGGGATGTTGCTTAAGCCATGATGTATGTTGGCGTTTTCTATGAGGGAAAGTTATGAAGACATGGCGTGGTTTAAGGTGTGTGTGAAAGCATTTTTTTTTTGTGGTAAGAGTTGCTGCTGAAGTTCTGGAGAGTGAGGTGTGGTGACCCTGCGTCCGTGAGGAATGGGCAGACTGCGTGTCCGTTTGGATGTATGCTTTGGGTTGCGCGGTCCAAGTGCACTTTGCAGAGAGCTGATGTGTCACCGACATTGTAAAAGCTTAAAGAGTAGCCTGACATATACACCATTTATGACATTTTGTTCACGAAAGACCAAGCGTGTGGGGGATGAATCAAAGGAATGACAGGACGTTGGGTCGTGTGGGCGGGACGAGTCTGCCCACAAAGGAGAATTTCTGTGAAACTCAAGACCTGAAACAACGGGGGAGTTGGCGTGGGCGTGGGCGAGCGTGGGCGCTGCGAGTTGGTATGCATCACTTCTCCCCAACATCTGTTTACGGGAGTTAAAAGGTCGGGGCGTGGAGGAGGCGGAGGTCGTGTTATGCTTTATTGTCTGTTTGCTACATTGATTGCGAAGAAGACATTTTATTCTCTGAGTGGCACATCCACCGACGAAGTTTTCCGAAAACATGGCAGACTTCCAGCCACAAAATATGTAAGCTGAGACAAGCTGATATGTATGCTCCGAGTGTGCATGAGTGGGCGTCAAGACGACCCACACTGAAGCTGGTCATACGAGTAACACAGAGTAGGCGGAGGGTGGCTAGAGGACCGCGTGACGAGCCCATAAAAGGTCTCCAGGTAGGCAGTCCTGGGCTGTGTAGGCGCCTCCGTTATCAGCTCTATGTAGACTCTATGTTGCCCCCCCCCCCGCACGCCCATGTTCCTCTCCTTCCCAGCCATAAACCTCCCCGTCACCGGAACCACGACAGCGCAAGCCATCCTGCTTCCTGGACCTCTCCGACGCCAACATCCTTTCGTATCTCGTAATACTTTCACCTCCCAAGCCTTAAGTCTCTTGCAACCGCGTAGTTCCCCGGTCTCCAGCCCTTAAGCAAGGAGCTGAGGCCTTTCTTCGCCTTGTATTAGATAGCGTCTCGCGAGGTCGTTACAAGCCCCGGAATCCTTGGCATGTCCTCTTCTTTCGGTCTCTTCGGTCGGTCTTTGGTCTCTGGGTCTCGTTTCTCCTTCTTGGTGGCAAGTATTGATGGCCTTGATGAACGCGAACGATTTCCATCACGTGATCCACTGAAGGCAGAGATCAGTCACTGACTCGGCGTAGAAGGCGCGACCACTGACCTGCTTGGCCGTCTGGAAGAAATAAATCATATTATAAGAATTGCCATATTTTTCGTAGCCTTGTACCTGCTGCACTACTACAAGTTACAGATTTCACCGGTGTTCCCCGATATTCATGAAATGGTATGATTTTATTCAAGTTGCTGTTGTATTTATCCTCTATCGCGGTTTTATATTGGAACTGATGCCTTTAATTATATTCATCCCCTTATCACTACCCTGACCGCCGCCAGGGACCACCACAACAGCCACAGCCACCACCTCATTACCCCCTTATCCCTCCCTAGACGCCCAAGAGAGTGGGTATAAAACGAGAAATTTAGGGCAGGGCGTCGAGGTGCTCTCCCTCTCTACACGGAAATAGTCGTAGCGGCGGCCATGCCAGGTGGGCGTGATGGTGAGGGAGCTGCGGTAAACATCTTTCTTTTCCTTTAACCCTACTTTATCAACACACGCGTTTCTCACTACCTGTAGACATTACTTATACTTTCACCACAACTTTACTATTACCGTTGGTATGGCCATTCCTCGTTCCCAAAGCATCTACAACATCCAGTAAAAACATTACCACAACGAGATTCACAATTTTTGATGCTATCATCAATACCATTTGCATAAACAAATGCACACACACCACCGAAGGCAACGTGGTTAGATTTGCATACATTTTTTTTCAAAGCAATAACCACCAGAGTTTGGTCACCATCACTCCTAAAAGGATCGTTGCATCATGAGCAGCATATTTTTTTCCACAGTGAACGACACCTTTCACTTCCAGCAGCAGTGCCATAAATATGCTTGGTACTCAGGGTGACCACATTCCCTGTTGGAACCTGCGACGTACCTTCCTCGATCAGACACGAATGCAGGAGCGAGTAGGCAGATATTTTGCAAAGGAGGTCGTTTATTTGAGAACGATCTCGTGTGCGCTAGGCTAGAGAGAGATCCTAATGAACTAGCTTAAAAAGGAAAATGTGGAGATGTAAACATAACGCTGCGAAGTGTCAGTGTCATGTCTCACAGTGTGTGCATGACTGTCCGTTGGAAGTGCATTGCATCCTGCCCGCTCTACTACAACCTTCCAAATATAGGTTGCCCTTAATTCAGCAGTCCCCAACCTCGCGTGTTCCAGCGGCGCTCAGACGCCTCCTACCCACCCCGAGGCTTCTGCAGCAGCCCAGAGGCCCTGTGCCTTACTGCTGGGGCGAAATTCTCGTGTGCAGCTGATTGTGCTGAAGAAGGGGGCTGTTGTTACTTTAAGAATTGCCGTTATGTTCTTAAATGTTACGGTTTTGCAGGTCATCTCTACTCAGGCTCTCTCTCTCTCTCTCTCTCTCTCTCTCTCTCTCTCTCTCTCTCTCTCTCTCTCTCTCTCTCTCTCTCTCTCTCTCTCTCTCTCTCTCTCTCTCTCTCTCCTGTGCGCGCGTGTGTGTGTATGT